ATCTGAGCCCTCAGAACCTGTATTTATTAGAGCTGAGAGCACCAAGCCACACTGGGCATCACATCTGAGCCCTCAGCCTTGTACAGGCACAAGCAGCATCTTTTTAAAAGAAGAAATTTGGCTTGAACTGGAGTAATAAACCAACAAGCTCAGGGCTGCAAGATTCTGGGATTTGTTCCTACTCATTTAGGGGTCCACAGAGAATAATTCTGTACACCTGGACACACAGTGAAACACACAAGTACAGATTACTATTTTCTCCCCTTTTTTTTCAATCTGGAACAGAAATGGATGGCCCTATGTTTGTGATTGTTTTCCAGGCTCTTCTCTCTGGGTTTTATAATCTGTAATGAGTGAAACCTCCACCTTTCCTGATCCCCAAGACACTGAGAACTCCCTGTCAGTTTTTGTCAGAAGACTGAAGTCACCAAAGGCATACCTGTCACCCACCAATGCCCCCAGACACCAAACAAAACACTACACCAAAGAAATTAAAGCAGGGAACTTTTCTTGTGAAAAAGAATTCAAAACATTTGGTGCTCCCAGGTATTCCTATTCAGACACCTGGCAGTGCTCCTGGAAATAATAAGGGCAAGACTAACCAGATCAGGCAGTTTAGAAATATGCTGCTATTGGTAAAATGGGAAGTAGAAACAAACAAACATTCTGGAGCACCAGCACAGCATGGCCAGAGCCAGAGCCCTCTCTGTGTCCAGAAGAGACCACCAGAATTCACCCAGATCAGGGTGTGCCCCCAAATGAGAAAGCTCCAGGCAGCAAATGAGCCCAGAGGGGCAGCAGAGCAGGGAAGGTGCCCCCGTGCATTTCCCAGGTGACCAAAATCACTGGCTAAGCAAATCATAACTGATGACAATTCCAAAATTATTTCTGTATAGTGTTTTCATCATTCTGTAGTGTCAATTATACCAAGATGTCCCTTTCAAAAGGAACCCTGGTCATTGGAAGTACATGCACTGCACTAGTCTACCAAAAAAACCAAACAAAACCCCACAAGCAACTAACAACAACAACAAAACCCCTACAACAACAAAAACACAAACATTAAAAACCCAAACAAACAAAAAACCCAAACCAAAACACAAAAAAGAATAAAAAGGGAAGGGCAGGGAGGGAATGGGAGAGAGAACACCTTCCCCCAAGGTTTCTCCAGAACTCAGCAATGAGGCAAATGCTCCTTTCCCACCCCAGCCCTGAACACACACCAGATTAGCAGCATTTTGGACCATGTCCAGCCATTTCACACACTGCTGATGAGCCAACTGATGCACCTTGCAATGCCTGAGAGAAGGGTTACAACAACCACAGGGCTGAACATTACAACTCTGAGAAGTTCAAGACCTTTCATCCTGTGTTATTTCTCATTTTTCTTTCTTCCTCACTTCAGGGGGTCTCTGCAGGGCCACCTGCTTAACAGGCACTCAAGTTACAGGAACAGTTTCCACATTCTTGTCTTTTACAGCCAGCAGAAGATCTCATGACAAGCAAGTCTCTTGCAGGGCACTAAAGATGAGAGCTCAAGAGCATAAAAACCACTGTCCAAATAAGCTTTTCTCCTGCTATGTTGTACAGGAAATCTAAATAGCCTGAGCCCAAGGAAATGTCTTGCACTGGGAGCACCCTCACTCTGTCCAAAGGCAACTAAGATCCACATGGATACGAACATATTGACATAAATATTTAAGGTTTTCCCAAAAATTCTTTTTTGATGATAGAATTTAAAATCTTTTAGTGAGCTAAAAAGTTACACATTCAAATTTGTGCATTTATTGAGTTTTCCCACTACATATCAATCTCAGAAACATTTTAATGTCCTTTAGGAAACTACAGAGAGCGCTTCTGAAGGTGTTCTTCAAGGCTTTCTCCACCAAAGGTGATGAAAATAACCACATTTCTGTATCTCCAGGAGACAGAATAATTTCACAGAAAATATTCTGAACATTGCATCTTTTGTGGAAATCATTCTTCTTCAAATTCAACAATATCAATACAACACCAAAATTACTTCTCACTATCTTTCCCCTAGCATAACAAGGAGAGGTGGTGGCAACCAGGGAGGAGCTGAACTGTCCCAGCAGGGAGGAACAGGGAGGAGCTGCCTGGTCAGATTTTGACCAGTACTAAGCAACTGGTTAGAGTTTCATAAGCATTTCCCTAGAACACAACCCATCTTTTAAGCTTCATTTCCATCTGCATTGTGAGAGAGCCTACTACTGATCACAGTAGTAACAGCAGGTTATGCACTGGATTCATCTAAAGATGCAGAACAATTCTGCTACAAATCCTCTAAGGTTACATGGTTGTTTATATCAGCCAGCATCTTACAGAGTTACAGCCTGTATTACAGTTATATATAACATAACTGTACAGTCACACACAGACAACCTGGATATTGTGTAATATTACCTTTTCTTTTTTTTTTTTTTGCCAGAGTTGGTTTAATCCAGTGGTGTTTTCTTAACCCAGAACCCTCCACAATGAATTTAAAGCACACCTGCACCAACAGCTCAATAAGCCACCACAGCAGGCACAGAGAGTGGAAAACGCAGGGAGCAGAGGAGTTAGTTTAATCTCCAAGACTCTGGAAGCCACACCTCCATTTTCTCCCTCAGTGCTCTCCAATAAACACCGAATTTCCTCAGTAAGGATCTGAACAGATGCCAGCCATTTACGTGCCCAAGTTTTCACTGGAGGCTGCAGGAGCACGTGCCTTGTGCAGCCTGGTAACAGCTCCTGGTGCACAGAGCCTGCTCTGACAGGGGGGATCAAACACAGCACCTGCAAACACTTCACCCACACCCCATGACAGCCCCTCCTGTGCCAACTGCAGGATTTCTGGTTTTGAGCTGTCCCCCATGGGCAGGCACAGCTCAGAGCACTGCCTCTGCCCACACTTTATTACAACAGGTAGTAAAGGCACAACACCTCCATCAAACATCAGCTCTGCACTTCCTTTGTGTGGTACCCAATGCCCAGGACACAGAGCTAAGAGAATAGCAAGGCAAGCAGTAAGGGACAAGCCTTCCTCTGCCTAAAAGGCCAATTTTAAGAAATGAGCACAGAGAGCTGCTTTTCTAATTTCTGCACACTGCTGTACCAGACAAGAACACATCCCAAAGGATCTTCAGTCCTTTTGCCAAGCAAGCTTCAAGCAGCAAGAAACTGTCTGTGCCACACATGACTTGGCAGTGCAGCCTGAACTATTACAGGGAAATACTGCTGAAAATACAGATGAAAAATTAATGGACAGTTCTCAGCAGCAAACAGTGTTAACAACACTTGCTCTTTTTTCACACTTTCCCCTGGACATCTGGATGTTTTTAACATGCTGCCCAACCCAACTGACAGACAGTAACTGGTTAAAAGAATTAAAGGATGAGGGTCCATGACCTCCTGCACATCCCACTGGGGCTGCATCTGCCCAGCATGGAATTACTGCCCCACAGAATTCTGAACACTGAGCTAACAGTGGTGTGCAAGACCTGCCTGTTCCCAAGCACTGTGCTCAGATACCCTGGTGTGGAGGAGCCACTCTGAAGGCTTTGGCTCTCCTGTGCTGTTCCTTTACCAGCAGTTTCTGTGTTAAATCATCCCCTGCATGAGCACACGCAGACTGAACTGAACAAGTGTGACAGCTGAGCAATGTAAAAAAAGCCATGCAGCATGAAGACATTTTTCTGTTTTGCAGCGCAAGCCAGAATTCTCTCACCATATTCTCTCATACAGCACAAGCTGTGGGTGGGGATGGAAGCAGTCTAAGGCCACGTCACTCACACTGCCACTGCTCTGTTTCTATTTTGCAAATCATCCGTCACTGGTCTACAAAATCTTGCTCAATTCTTCTGTACAGCACAAATCCTGAACATCTTTCATGCTGCAGTAACAATTTGATCATTTAATGCTGACTTCTGAGGTGGCATTGATGCAGGAGCACCTATTTCTGAAATAAAACTGTGGTTATATCCTCAATGCCCCTCATTGCTAAAGAGAGAACCTCTCTTTAGCAGTAAGTTGTTACAGGTCATGGTCTCTACCAGCAAATGAAAGCATTTAAAATTAATATTCTAGGATGCATGCATATCTATATTAATGAAGCAGGTCACTTCCAGGGCTTTTGATCAGTGAGATATGCCACAATACTGAGGTATGAGATGATGAAAACACTGTATTGTACACTCTGAGCCTAAGCAGCAGCTGAAGAAACTCCATGAAATGAACATTGCTGGACATGGGCGGGAATGATGAAGTCATCCAGACCTGCACACACAGGTACTGTCAGTGATTTTAAGCCCTTAATTCACCTGCCCAGGCATGATTTCTTACTGTCAACACTTGCCCCATAGTTCTTCCTGTGCTATAGGACTTCAGCTATCACTCCCATGCCATCTGGGATTACTGTGTTTCTCTCTGTAACCCCCAGTGCCCCCTCAAAACTGGGTACTTCTCTACTTTATTATGCCATTACTAGAAAAGAGAAGCAAGAGGGCTGCTCAGGCTGACTTCTTCCCCAAGTGGCAGTCTCTATACCAACAGCAATAAAGCACTTGCTGCCCTATTTTTCAGGCTTCTCTTCCCCAGGGCTTAGGGAGGGCAAGATCTTTATGCTGTCCAGGAACAGCTGCTTCAGGAAACAAAGGAAACTTTTAAACATGCCACGTGTACTTTATATATTTTAGAGTAGGGCACACTGCTAAAGACATCACTTCTAGTGCTGTTTTGTAATTTGTATAAAAATTTGGCTAGCTAAGGTCAGTCTCTGTATCTCAGGTCAGAAACCAGCCTGACAGGTGCCACTACTATAAAAAATGTACAGGGAAAATACTCTTGGATGTATGTAAGAGCAACAGCCAGGGAGAACGCGCTGTGCTGCTGCTCACCTGCCCAGTGCTACTACCCAGGGCTCCTGGAGATCTCCTCCTCCTAGGGCTACATGCTAAAGGACTACACACAGGAAAAAAGCATCTCATGCCACACATGCAGTATCTGTGCTTACAGTACTGTGTATGATATTTATGTATGCATATGGTAACAATTCTGACCCAAGTTTTCCCTCCTTAAATCTGCAACCTCAAGAGTAAAAATACTCACTCCGAAATCACCAGACTGAAGAGCAGCATGCTATAAAATGGCCTCTACTTGCTGCAAAGTTAGATAAATAGGAAAACTGAAAGCACTGGAACAGGTCAGCGCTGCTGGAAGCTTTCACCAAGTCTGACGTCAGTCATGTTTACCCCATCTAAACTGCGAGCAGTCCACACAGTCTCCCGAAGTCCTCTTCCCAATCCTGCTCTTTCTGCCAAAGCACACTGCAAAACAAGTTTTCCAATACCGTGGTGCGGAGCAGGCTTGTGTTTCCAGCATCCCTAAGATCCCCAGGAAGCTCTGGGCTACCGACCTCCTTCTGTGCCTTCAGCTCAGCACACGAGGCTGCGAGCGGCTCCGATGCAATGTGTCCTGCCGCACACGTGATGCTACAATTAAAGTGCTGTCACAACTCCGAGCCCGCATCGCAGCATCACCCGGGAGGGGCTGAGGACCAGCAGGGCAGGGCGAGCACATGAAAACAGCACCGCGTCCCACGGCTGGGGGCACAGCGAGCAGCAAGGCGTGCAATCATCGTGGAAGTGCAGCACAACACAGAAGCATGCAGATTTAAACCCAAACAAGCACTGCGCAACATTTGATCCTGCAATACTTACTGAAAGCAGTACTTTGTCACATGTGCGCATCCACCGGACCCCTCTGCAGTCCCTCTACCTGCTTCCAGGTAAATAATGTGACAACACCTGGCACCAGAGGACTGACCTGCGGGTCTACAAGGCATCGGCGGAGGCTCCAGCCAGCATCTGGCGCAGACCCCGCAGCAGGGGCGGGCAGAGCAGGCTCCCCCCAGACCTGCTTGTCGTCTCTCGCATCCTCGCAGCCAACTGGAGCCCCGGGGTCCTGTCGCAGCGCCGGCGGCTCTCAGCGGAGCCACCCCCGCGCCCCGGCGGCCGCAGCGGACGGGCTAAGGCTGGCCGGGCTAGGGCTGGCCGGCATAGCCGGGGCTCGGGGCGGCCCGGCCCGCCGCGGCGGAGAACGAGCCCGGGCGCCGTTCAGCGGCCGCGAGCATCGCAGCCCGAGCGCCGGGGCCGCGGTGGGCAGCGGGCTGCGGGGGGCAGGGGCCGGCATGCGGGGACGGGCGGGCCGCTCCTCGCCGCGGGACCGGCGCCGCCTCAGAGCCCGCGGCGGATCGCGGCCGGTCCGCGGCTGCCGCCCGCCCCCCGGCTCGCCCTGCGCCGTGACAGACACCCCGGGCGGAGGCTCAGGCAGCGGCGGGGAACCAGCGGCCGTCCCGGTCACCCGGGGCGCGCCCACGGAGCCATCGCCGCTACGGATACCCTCTCACACCCCCAATCCCGGGCGGCCGGCACTGCCCCGGGCACTCCGCAGGGGGAGAGCGCCCAGACCGCGCCGCAGGACAGAGAGCAGTGGCACCGGTCCCGCCGCCGCCGCCCTCAGCCCACGCCGGGGCCCCGAGCCGCCCTCATGGCGGGAGGCCGGCCCGTCCCACGGGCTCCCCGCCCCGCGATCAGCGCCGGCCCGGTGCGGCTGCGGGCGGGCGGAGGCTGCCGCCGCCTCCCATTGTCTGCGCGGGGCGGCGCGGCCGGGCGGGCCCTGCCCCGCTCCCGATCCGCTCCGCCACCGGGCCCGCCCCGGCCTGACGTCACCCGGTCCCATTGGCGGCCCCGCCGTGTTTACAGCGGCCCCGCACCGGGCACCGAGCGCCCGCCGCCCCCGGAGCGCCCCGCACACCAAAGTCAGCCCCGGGACGCGCCATCCCTGGGTCACCTTCCCGCTCACACCACAGCTCTCCTCATTTCGCTACACACACAGTATTTGTATTTTTACTTATTGCTCTAATAAGGCAAATCTGCGGAGCCGTAAGACCTGACAATTTCGGAGACTGTGCGGTCCCACCACCCACAGGAATCACAGGGCACCGGGCAGACTCCTCGGGCAGCAGGGCACGTTCAGTCATCGGCCTGAGGAATCCGATGTTTGCCCGTGAAGTCAGGCTGGCTCAAAAGACAACGCTCAGCATAGGAAATGAAATACTCCTTGCCTCAATTCGATCATATTATGATCAAAATGGAAAAGGACAGTTTGGGAAATGCAGTCAGAGCAGTAGGAGATTGGCTTCCTGAAACAGTGTCCTTAATAACAGCGTGGGAAAGGAACAAACCACCAGACACATCTCAGCAGGAATGTAAACAGAACTGACAAAGTCTCCACACTGCACAGGAGTCAGTACAGGGGAGGATGAATAGGAACTTAAGGAGTTTACTGGATAGCTCCTATCAAGGGACAAGGTATCTGTGTCCTCACACATCCCTACAAGTTGCACCACAGCCTTTTAACATGGTACAAAACATTCATCCCTCTTCCCACAGAGAACCCAAACAGATCATCTTTTATGGCAACATCCAAGATGTAAACACCATTCACCTTTACCCAGCTGGAAAGAGGAGTGTAAAACTGTGAATACTGTTTATAACACAGACTTTTTTCCTATGGAAAGTCTCTTACTGCTGCAAAACATTCACTGATACTGAACACATCTCTTCTCCTACCTTGACTCTGGTGTCCTGTATCTCATAACAGGCTAAGAAGGGCATCTGGTCCCACTAAACAGACACATGCCAGGGGTTTTGGTGCTAACATTGCCCCTGTACAGGAATCATGTACCTGTGGAATGCCACAGGTAGCACACACACACAGTTTGCTCACAGATGATTCCAGCTGAAGTGAGAGTTTGGATACCACTGGTATGGCCTCGTCATGCCAACACAAGTGAGCCACCAAGCCCCACCTCCCCGAGTCTTTTTGTGTTTTCCAGCTGGGAAAGACAGCCAGATCATGCACGGAGAGCCAGCAGGAGCTGACAGGCTGCCTGTCAGGTGCTCCTGCGTCAGTGCCATTTACATCCAGTGCCAGTCACACCCTTGTCCAACCCGTACACACTTGACTCATCCGTACACACATGGCCTGCCCCTATTTTTAGGTTCTGTCCTCTTTCCTGCAGATGCATGAGTTTAATGCCAGCAGCACTCAGAGCCATTTCCCCAGAATTTCTGATCACATCCCATGCCAAGGAAACGCCATCTCTACAGACATTTTATGGAAGCAGCAAGGCTTCTGCAGAGGGCAAACACAACGTGCTTTCCATTGGGAATCTGTACTGAAATGCCTTTATAATTCCTTATGCATCTGCCATGAGATCATCTCTGCCCTTCAGTTCAGCCTTCAGTTCTTCAAGCCTCATTTGCTTTTTGGTTTTTTCTTAAAAGAACCTCTTTACAGACAGTGAATGGGAAATGAGATCAAATGGCTATAAAAGCACACAATGGCTTCTGAGAACTGAGTTTTACATGGAAAACGGAAAAGGCTGCCAAGTTTATCAGCAGAGATCAGGATCACATGAGAGTTCTTCCTTTATGAGAAAAAGGTTTGCTTTGAAAAGAAAGAATATCACTATTCAAATTAACTAGAAAAAAGGCAAGAACACCAGCAGCTGGTGTCAACTGTCCATTTGTAAGAGACCTAACTCACCCATGGTGTGAAATAAGGAAAACTCAGAATAAAACAAGTATCTCTGTATAGTTCAGAAGAGGGTGCACAATCCTTCATGGCACAGCAGACACTGATGAAGGAAGGAGCCCTCAAACGCTCCCTTCAGACTCCTTCTCTGCCCATTCCTACACTTGGCTCAGTTCCTAGAGGCAGAAGCATGGTGGGAGATGGTCTCACAACCCATCCCAGTCATTAGCAGGACTGCTCCCTGATCTCAAAGGCCAGTACATGTGCTGTGCTCAAAAAAAATAGTGATTTTTGTCTTAATGTAACTGAAAACATAGAGTTCACATATAGAGTGATTTTGACTTTATTTTAAAGACATATGTGGAAGAGAATTGTTTATCTAAACTTAGATGAGATGGAAATTGCTTGTTCTTTTCCTAGGGTATGGCTGTTAGCTCTATTCTCTGTGGCAGTGCTCATTCCAGCTGGAATCATGAACTGTGTTTTAACAATGCAAAGGAACTCAGAGTGTTCCACTGAGTTAATTAAAAAGAATTTTAAAATTCTTGTCAATATTTTGTGACTACAAATATTCCTCGAAAATCTTCCCTCAAGACCACGCAACAGTCAGTAGGGCAAGGATTTTAAGCAGGGAAATTAAAGCAAACAAAGAAGTCAGGGATTTGTGTATTTATTCAACTGATAGAATCAATTCACATTAGTTTTCACCTTGGCTAGCTAAGCTAACATTTGCTCTCTAGCAGTAAATGAGAAGATGTAGCTGGTCCTTTAAATACCAGTGCAATCTGCTCCCTTTGGAGCACTGTGCATCAAGGCAGAGGCTTCTGATAAATCATGGTTGGTATAATTATTCAGTCTTTTTCCCTGAAGGGCCTCTGCAATGCAGCGGTCCTCTTACTTTTTTTTTCCCCTCCCTGTTAGCAATGCCCTAGTTTGTTCACTGCTGCAGTCCCCCTCCCTTCCACATCACCACAGCATAACAACCTCTAATTGAGAGCTGGGCTGCTCACCAAGAGCACCCAGAGGAGCTGCAGGGACACCAGAGACAGCACTCACAGCCACCTCCTCAGCTCCTGCCAGTTCAGCAGCTCTGGGGAACTGTCAAACAAGGCATTCAAAACCTGCCCACCTGGCATGCCAACCCTGGATTGCTGACAGCCGAGCATCAATCACCATCACGCGCTGTCAGCTGCACTCCACAGGCAGCAGGAGGCCTTGCAGCAGGTGAAAAGCACCTACAGACTCTTACAATCCTCTCCAGTCAAGCAAATTCGATTTTGATGCTGAACATAAGACTTAGTGCACCTCCTTGTTAAGAGCCAGTTCTGTTTGCAACCTTGCTTCTGCAGCCATATCACAAACCTCTCTTCACTCTGCAATGCCCACAGGCTCTGTCTCCATGCTGCTCTTTAGAAGTGCTACCATCCCAACTGCTTTAGTATATCCCTCTTGTGCCTTACTATCTCTCCATTTTCTGCTTAAATAAGCACATTTTTTTTCTAGACAAGCTCAAGTTTCAGAGTTTTCAGGAAAGACAATTCCAGGGTAAATGCTTCTCATCTAGAAACTGGGCAGTATGATCAGCTTTCTATTCAGACAAAAAACCCCACCTCTTTGTCATCCTGTATAAAAGACAGCAACATTTTGTTCACACCAACAGAGCTAATAAGACTTTTCAATGAGAGGATTCTGATTAACATTGCCACAGCCCTTCTTGTCAGGACAAACCTGCCCCTCTACATCCCTCCCCACCAGGAGCTGCTCTGTCATTCACAGTTCTGCATTTGTTCTGCTTTTTTAGGGAATATTTCACTTTTCTTACCGTCCAAGGACAGCCAGTCATGCTGGGAGGAAGGCAGGGTTGGCAGAGCTCTGGCTTTATATTCAAATACCACAGAATTGGAGATGATCTGATTGTTGAAGGCAACTTGCAAAGTCACAAGCCCAGTGTCATGAGCTAAAAGGAAAGTACAATGTTGTAAGACAGAGAGCTCCCTGCAGAAACCCCCAGCTAGGAATTACCCCATGTGCCAAATATTGGGCTGAGATCAGGTGTAGAGACAGGGTGCTGAACAGTATTTTTGTGACTAGACAATTTAACAGTCCAAAATACCAGTTGGTATATTCAAACATGGAGATTTTAAGCTTAGGAGTCATCTAATGGGTTATTCTGGCAAAAGGCAGAATCACATGTTTCTAAAGACTGAGCAGCCTCACTGCATTTCCAGTGGAAAGCTGGGGCCTAGTAATGAAACCAAGTTATTCTGCACCCACTTGAAGTCATATATTGAGGGTCATCACTACTGAAAATCTCTGTGGGGAGGTTAGAGGTGCTCTTATGCTATAAGTACCAAAGGGAAAAACAGGCAAATCCAGCCAGTGGAGCAGTGAGTAACAGCTACTCTTTAATCTGCTCTTTCAAAACAAAAGGAATGCTTAGAATTATTTAAAATTACTTCCAATAACTATTTTAAAGTTAATTCAGAGATTCTAAATAGTACTTGTTGTGATCTGTTGTGATGTATCAAAATGCCAAATTGCTGTTCCCACACTAAACTGGTCAAAAAAAGAGGAAAATCTTCTGGATGCCAGTGCACTTTTGTACATGTATGTGCCACGATGATGCTCAGAAATCCCCAGATGTAGGAGAGCCGTGCTCCTTACCTGGGCAGTAGCAGCGCAGTACCCCTGGCTGAATTAAAGATGCAGGCACTGAGATCTGATCAAACAGACAGCTGTAATTATTGCTGGCTTCCTGCCACGGGCCGGTAATCAGGACTTTCACTCCTCCCTGCCAGGAAAAAAGGGAGAGA